CGTGCTGGCAGAGAGAGGCATTGATTTGGTGCATTTCCTTGAACGGACAGGAACGGGGCTACAGCGGGGTGGGTAATATCTACCTTACTGGAGCTGTTTCCATCCAGATTACTGGTAAAGCAGCGGGAAGTCACACCACAAGACAGAGTGTGGTAGCTTGGATTGGAAAAGCAATGTACACTGCCGCTACCTTGAGACAGATCTGGGAAGAAAACAAGTCATCACAAAATACTTCGGAAGCTGTAATGATACTTAAGCAACTGAGCAAATGCTGGAGAAGATGAAGATTAGAAAACCCATCAGCATTTTGTTCGAGCTCTGGCTGTGGTAAGGCATCTCCGGATTGAATCTAGCCTGCATTATCATGGTGTGAAGTTCTTTACTATTAGTATGAAACCAATTAAATATAAGATAGACAAGCAAAATCTTAAAAGAATACAGAGTTCCACTTTTGAAGATATTAGAAGGTATTTCCTCATACTCAAAGAGCATTACGGGGAGAGGGAGAAATGCAAAGCCCAGAAAATGGCAGGTATGCAACACTGCATAATGATGAAGCCATTAATTAAAAGGCTATAATGTACCAAGGAATCCAAAATATCTTACATAACTTTTTTTTTTTGTGCAAAGCCTTAAAAATAAAACGGAAAGCTGCAGCACTGAAAGGCAAACTTCAGTAATTATATTGTTACACTTAGAGACATTTTTATCTACTTCATCTCTTTAACCTATGTACTTAGTTTCAAGCAAAATAATTTACCAAGGAAGCCATCCCATTTATACTGGCAATTCTAATGCAAACATCAATCCCAATCTGGTTTCAGTTTAATAAAAAATTGATAAACACTTCAAAGCAGTATCAGAAGGAAAGATGAAAGATTTAAGCTGAAACAATGTAATTTAAACAGCCAAGCCCTGCGAGAAGTAAAGAAATGGATTATTTTTAATAACCCATGGGCTCAAATTGCTGGAAGGAGGTTAGCTATAGGAAAAGCTTTCAGCTGTTGAGGGCAGTGAAGTGCTAGTGTGGAAACTCCATCTTCAATAAAGGTTCAGAGAAGCTGGGGAGGGCAGCAAGGATGGAGAGGCACCTGTGGAGGGGGATGCCCAGGTGGCCCCAGCCCTCCCACTGCCATGCGGCTCCGATTCCGCATTCCTGGAATATGCACTTTGCTTTGCTGACATCTTGTGGAGATCTAGATTTGGTTTAATTTACTGCAAAATGTCCTGTCTCGAGGCAGTGGGTTGATGTAGGGGAAGCTGCCCGAGCGGCAGTTCTTGCCGGGCAGCGCGAGGGGCGACCCTCCTTTCAGCAGCTGCAGGACCTGCTGCTTCTAGCTGTTTTCCCAGCATCATTGCTAACAAATTACCTCAGGCCAGGGCGAGTTTTGGGCTCAATTCTTTGCACTTGACGCCTTTGCGCTGGCCCTGCCATAACTGTCACCTGCTGCTCACTGGGATGTGCGAGGTTGGGTTGGGGCCCTGCTCCGTGACACGCTGCTCTGGAGCTGTTCTTGGCATGGATGCTACAGCCCGAGGTGGCCGCGGGGACACTGCTGGGCCTGCAGGGATGGGGCCAGCTCGTGGCTGTAACTCGGTGCTATTTGCAACAGAATTAACGGGCAGCAACTACCTCCAAGGGATGTAAAACCCGTATTCCTGCTCCATCACCGAGCGTTTGCATTCGAGTCACGCCAGCTCCGTCCTCCGCATCCCTTGTCGTTCAAACCCCTCTCAGCAATGGCCACGAAAGAGCAGACAGGGACACGTCCCACCACGGCTGTAGGATTCAAGCCTGAATCACCCCAGGTCTTCCCTTCCCTCACTGTGTGCATCCATTGAGAATTCCTCCTCCAGGCCAGTTTCATCCGGGTGATATTTAAGTGCCCACACAGGCTGATTTCCCTTGGCAGCACAGTCCATTTTCGACACATTTACTCAGGAAGCTCTTATAACTGATGGCTGGAAATACATCAAGTTCAAGCCTAATGCTATCCCCGATAAAGAAAAGAAGGGAGAGAATTTTATTCTGTTCTGAACAGTAAGTAAAAGATTTAAATAATTAAAAAAAAAAAAAAAAAAAAAAAAAAAAAAAAAAAGGAGAATGGTTTAAATTAAGACCAGGAAGAACAAATCAAGGGGTAAGTTAATGATGACAGGCTCCTGCCATAAGCCCCACAAGCCTCAGGCTGCACTCCAGCCCAATGAAGGGAAGTGGCTTAACACCCACTATGTTTCAATGCAGCAGAAGTCCCATGAAGCCTGGATTAAGGCAAGAGGGCTCTGTGCCTTGTAAGACTGAGCTTCTGCTCCAGACAGAAATGCTGTATCAGGAGGTGACACAAACAGCAGCCATCCAGGTCCTGGTGTGGCAGCAGGAGAGTGTAGCATGGAAACCAGCTATTGAGACCAACCATTAAAAAAAAAGGAATAAGCGAGAACTCTCCAATAAATATAAGAAATATTTCAAGCTACAAACAGCATTGCTTTCTTCCTCCTCCAGACAGGGATTTTTTGTGGGGTGACCCTAGGCTGAAGTGTCCACAGGACCCCTGACACTACCTGTATTCTGCTTTGCTTTGGTTGTGATTCTTGTCCTAGGATTCAGCCACATCTGAAAGTTTGTTAAGACACTGCTTAAGACCTCAAGTACCACCTCAGCCCCACACCAAGCCCCCAGAACTACTGTCCAACACTAGTGCGTAGCAAACCCATCCGTCCCAATGTTCTTGAGAGCAGAGTTAGACAACGTGTGCCTTGAAGTTCCCAGTGGGATGTGGGTGTCTCGCTGCCACGCTGCTGAGTGTCACTTTGCTTTCAGGCTCACTGGGGAAAGGCCGCCTCAGACCCTTGCGCTTCAGTTAAGCTCTCCCCGTGTGGGTGTTTTTCTCTCCCATTCCTTGCTGGGCAGACTGCGTGTTTTGCTGCCACATCCTTCATCCATAAATTCAAAAGAGCCCATGGGTTGCTCGTGGGATTCCCCCTTATAATCTCATACATACACATGGGTTATTAGCATCAGAAGGGCTCAAGACTCAAAGACCAAAAACATCCTCCAGAAATAATTATTGTGTTGGAAGAAATTATACAACCATTGTGTGCTTCCAGGAACCAGGGATGTGCACGTGTGACTGCTGAGAAACAACGACTGCATAAACAGAAACGAGTGCACTATCAGCAGCTGTGATCCCTCAGATATTTTAACGTATCCAGGAACTCAGTCATCCCAGAATGCTTAAGTGCCATGAGGTGTAAGGAGCTCGAGGACAAGCGGTTGCACCTGAAAGGAATGACAAGAACACAGTACAGGGAGACACAGCGCCTGTGAACCCATAAACAGCAAGGATGGTCCTGGGCTGCCAACATCAACCACAGCGGCTTCGTCTCAGCAGCTGGGGAGAAAAATAACCTTCCCCTGTTGACTTCGAAGGATCAGCGTGTCTGTTCAGCATTAGTGTTTCCTTGGCCTCCATTCTCAACTCAATACAGAGGAAAAACAACTTGTAGAAAAATGTACAAAGTGTCAGCCTGAAAGAAATGAACAGCCAAGAAGTCCAGAACATTTTCCATGCCTGTGGCTGTGATTTTCTGTCGTGGGTCTGAAAGCCTCTCTGTTGCTGAGGTGTGCCACAGTCATCTTCTGCAGGATCATGGTTTGGCTCTTCAAATGATGCTGATGTGACACATTTCAGGCAAAAAATGTATTGGTAACTAGCCAGGGATTCTGGCAACACTTTTGTAATTTTCCTACCCAAATGGGCAGCTTAAGCCAGAGCCTGTAAAGTGACAATTCAAGAACAAGAGGCAGTGAGACAAGGTCCAAGGCTGATGTATTTCCTTTTTTTGTTTTTCCTTCCATTTTGTAGTTATCAGAAGAAGAGAGGCTCTATTACAAGTCTGAGTGGTCTAAATACGAGTTTAGGTGGCGGTGACGAGCAGGCAGCCCCTGATACATGGTGTTCCGTTATAGGAAATGGTGTCCGTGCCACGAGGGTGGAAGTGACGGCCGTGACAACCCGCTTGATGGAGTCCCAGCCTGCAGCTGGGCCGTGACATTGCCTGCTCAGCAGGACGGGCTTCCTTCCCGGTGCATCCCAAGCAAGGAGCAGAGCTGCCCCCCATGTCACTCCGAGCTGCCCTGGAAGCCAAGTCGGAGCCAGCAACAAGTGCCAGGGCCTCAGGAGCATTTGGACTAGGGAGAAGAAGAGACTGGGAAGCGTGGGAGCTGGGTGAGCCATCCAAGGGGACACAGTGCAGCCAGAAATAAAGCCATCCCCTGCTATTTGATACTACCCACGGAGGAATGGCAAAGAATGACAGCATTAAAGAGGAGATCATCACCTCCGGAGCTTAGCTAATCTGTCAGGAGAAACCGTCTTCCACAGCAGTAGCAGAAGATGGAAACAAGCAAGAAATATGGTTTTCGTGTTCTTTTGACCTTACAGATCAACTTTTATCATATCACAGCCTTCCCCGTCGCCTCTCAGTCCTTCATTAGCTACTTTGCAAGAAAATCTACACCAGGTTTCCGGATTACAGAGACTGGTCTGTGCATAGAAGAAAACAACAGCTAATAGGAGGGCTCAAAACACAAACCGCAATGCAAAATAAAATCTTGTGTGACCCACTTGATGCCATTCTTCAAGCAAAGAAATCTGCTCCTGCAGGTTCTACAACGGGAGGCTTCTCTGCATGGTTACAGGGATGTAGCTGAGGAGTTTCTGTACTGCGTGTGGCGTATCTCATACCTAGGGACTCACACCTAGGACATCCTACAGCCTGCAAATAATCGTTCATACACGAAGCAACTTACAGCAGTTTTAAGTGACATTTGCTTTCCTGTCCCTGTTAAATGTTAAAAATCATGGTATTTGGGGGGAGAAATGGAAGTGTCAGTATTTTTGAGGCTCTGTATTGCATGTTATACATCACAGAAGCTTATATTTCCCCAACATAGAGCAATATGAGTCCAGATTTGATTAACATAAAAAGACCCTTACCAGAAAGTGAGTAATCTGTATTAGTCATCCTCATGGCTGGAGTATAAGATACACTTGGCATGTCATGGCCCTTCTCCTTCTGTTTCCGTCGATACCACACAAACAGTGCCAGCAAGACCATAATAATTAGAAGGAGAATAATAATTCCAATGATTGCTCCCACTGAGTGCCTCTCTGATCCAAGAGCAGGGCTAATTTTAGTATAGGGGTTTAATTCTTCCATCATAAGAGCCGCTGTTAAAAGTAATTCATAACACACTGTAAATTGAATCGCACATTTCATTTTTGAAATACTTTTTTTCTTAAAGCAAGTTCACCATTGTTAAAAAAAGAGCGAGAGGGAGAGATTTAGCACATAAAATAGCACTGTACCTTGGTCACACCTGATTCCTTTGAAGCCAGGGCTGCAGTAGCAGGTCCCCGTGACGTGGTCACACGTTGCGTTATTCATGCATTCACACAGTTGTTTGCAGCCATAACCAAATGTTCCTGGTGAGCATTCTGCAAAGCCAAGGAAGAAGATCAGAAAGAATCCTATTTTGGGAGGGGGAAGGGAAGAGAAGGTAAAATCCTGCCCAAGGCAAAGTCAGTCAAAAAGTCTCCCCGGTTTGAGTGCAGCTAGGGCAACATCCATACTATTAGATTATTATTTTAAAGCAGGAGATAAATGTACAGTTACATTCAACTGCAGTTCACAGTCTGGGCTATTACTTATTTAGCCTCCTTTCTGGAAAAGTCATACAAGACTCCATGAGGATGAAATCAATAATACACAAACTTAAAAAGACTTGCTATACAATTTCAAACATGCAGAGGTAAACAGAGCATAAAGTCAGAAGCTGTGGATAACATGAAAGAGCATAAAATTCTCCAAGTCTGCAGATATTTTTCCATGGGGGGTTGCAAATGTAATTTTTAATGTGCGTTTATATGCAACATGTTTATACTTTTACCACAAAAGCCCACATATTTTCTAAATTATCTCCAGTAGGGCTGGAACACAAATATGGCACTGTAGAAGGAATTAGAGAATTGAGCATCTGCATGGTTTGCTCTGCTTCTATATTAGGATTCCTAGACTTCTATCACAGACAAAATGATTGAACGTCCAACTGAGAAATTTATTCATACAATTACTATGATGGGCCATTACAATAAATCTGTCGGCAACTTGCTAAACTTCTCGAGGCAATATTCAATAACAAATTGAAAGAAATAACTTTTGGCAACTCCTGCTTCTTTCTATAAAGAAGAGAGTTTAGTGAATGTCACTTGCTATGTTTCTTGAATATAACCAATGAATATCAGCCAGTGTCTGTAATGTTTTGCATTACAAAATTAAATATAAATTTATGTCTCTTTCTTATATGTGCAGATTTGTAAATGAGGAAAACCAAAGATTTTCCAACCAGTGCTTAGTCTGATATTAACCTGCAGCATACTTTAAAAGAAGATGGTCTAAATTTTTGGAAAGCACCACAGAAATGATGCCTGCATTTAGGCATTTCATCCGAAATCTGATTCATGGGAGGAGGGAGTTTTAACAAAGAGATCCTTTTAGATTAAAGAACATAAATACAAATAATAAATACATTCACTGATGGAAAAGAAAAGCCTAGACTTTGTAGGAAAGTCAAATTATACATGTAGCTGTATAAAATTTGCTATGATACAGTCCTATTACAGAATTTCTGCATGTCTGCTTTCTGCATGGCTGCAGTAAGGATGCATGCAAGCTAAACTTAGGTTTTTTTTTTTACCTCACTGCCAAAAAAATAAAATAAAAAAGCTGTGGAATTAATGCCATGGTAAGGTGAGATGAATTTCACCCTCTGTTTGGAGTCCAAGTAAGTGTGTGAGAATTTTCTTTTGATTTACTGCATCAGACAAACACGTAATTATTCAGCTCCAGCGCATGCAGTTCCACTACCCTAATTCTCTGTTGTTAAAAGCAGCTGTTTGGCACAGCATGCTAAATATACCAGCAAGACACTGACAGCAGTTACAAGAAGATATGCCGGGATCCTTGCACAGGTAACCAAGGTTCATTCTCCTCACTGCCTCACTGCTGAGGTTAAATGCACAGCCTTCCAAAGATGATTAACAGCAACTGTTTCCTGGGTGTGTTTCCACTGTGAATGAACTCCAGCCGAGGGGTGCTCAGCTCCTTGGCCTGCAGGACCCTGCGGTGCAGCGGGATTATTCACACTGCAGCCTCTGGATGCGGCTGCTTGGAGCACTTGGAGGAGGTGATTGTTAGTAATGCTGGTAGTAGCCAAGCAGTACACGCTTGGTGCATCAAGGTGAGAAGTGTAATAATTCACTGCAACCTCAGTGGTGTGAGGGTGAAGAACAAAAATGCATAAAGCAGGGAGCCCATATTCCAGTGGAGAAATTCCTGGATGCAATTTCCTCTCTCTGTGCCCAGAGCAGCCCTTTCTTCCACCTCTCCCAATGGAGCAGTAAACTGGCTGTGCCATGTTGGCAGAAAGTGAAGGAACTCACAGCAACAGGCACATGCAAACTCTCCCCTGGGCAGTGTGACCCTGGACTTACAGCTGAGAGTCCTCTCTCTGGGAACCCGTTTTTGGTAACACACAGGATATGCTGATTTGAGAAAATTTCCTTCAAGTTTAACTGTCAACAGTTTAAGTCTGTTATTCCTGCAAGGAATTCTGCAAGAAAGTCTGCACAGGAGAAAATTAAAAATGAAGAAATGCTGCAACTTACTTTGCTCGCAGTGTTTGCCTGTAAAACCCGTCCTGCACGTGCATTGCCCCGTGATGTGGTCGCAGTCTGCTCCGTTCTGACACTGACAGACATTGGCACAATTTTTTCCATAAAATGCTGCTGGGCAACCTTTCAGGATTAGAATAAGGAAACACTAAGAAATAAACTGAAACACTAACACAGACAGAATAACAGCACAAAAATATGTAGGTCTATAAATCTATGCATATTCAGCCTCTGTATATTTAATAACATTTATTTGATCATCCCAATGCAAAGATGCCATGACAGCCAATTTTCTTGAAGTAGTGTTTCTCATATCCTACAGAACTGCCTAAGTGTTTCAGAATAAAGGAGGTTTGACCCATCTATACTAACTGCATTTTCAAAAAGTGAAAGAAGATGAATAAAAGGAAACTGCCTTAAAGGCCAAATACCAATGACTTTCTTGCAAGTGAGAGAGCTCCCCAGAATTTGATACTTTCATACAGTGCTGATAATTTGGCACCATAAGGACCAAAAATTTTCCTACATCGGATCTCTTATAGTGGGGCTTTCCCAAGCAGGAACAACACCTGGGCAAATTATGACAACGAATCAATAATCTAAATAATTGATTCCTCCTTCACTGAGGGGGAATGGCATAAAAAAAAAACCACAAAAAGTTTCTGGGCTATTTTCTCCATGAGAGAAGTCATTTGCAAGCATTAAGCGGGTGTTTTAGCAGGCAGGACTGCAATATTTGGAACAGACACGAGGTAGCAGCACACACTTTGGCAGGACGGGGTCTGGGAAAGGCTTACGCTGAGTGCAGTAGAGGCCAGTCCAACCATGAGTACATCTACACTCTCCATCGAAAGGGCTGCACATGGCTCCGTTGTGGCAGTTGCAGGAATGAAAGCAATCAGGGCCCCAGAAACCAGCGGGACAAGCTGGGGAAATAAAAAAGATCTGTCAGCTGATGCAAAAAAGCACAATGCTAACGCACTGGTGCTGCAGAGGAAGAGCAGGAAAGAGAGGACCTGGGAGACCCCGCTCCGCAGCGCCGAGCTCCGCAGCGATTCCCGGCAAGCGGCGGCTCCTCCGAGCCCGGCGCCGCTCTGCCCTGCCAGGCTGCAAAGCTGCAGCTTGACCCCCGCTGTCAAAGCTGGCCCGGGAGCTTTTATCCCCACAGAGATGAGCGCCAAGACGGGCCGCCCACGCGCACCGGGAGCCGCTCCAACGCGGCCCTGCGCCGCGCGTTCCCCTGCGCTCCATCCGCCCTCCCTGCCCTCCCAGCGCTATCTGTGAAGGCAGCCTAGACAGGGGCTTAAGATATGGAAGTAATTTAATTTTCTTTTTGATATTCCGCAACTCTCGCATAATAAAGTACAGCTATTCATGGTTTACATTTGCTATGCGATCAACTGCTAAAATTACCACATTCATTTGAGGTATGGAGCGACGCTCAAATTACATAAAAATGTAAAGAAAACTTATTATCAGGACGAATTCTCGTCCACAAAATCAGATTGCTTTTGTTGATGGAGTGAATATTAAATTAAAATCTCTAGGTCTATTATGTAGTTCAACAGGTACAATATTAACACATTTTCAAAAGTTATTTTAAGCCGCCCTCCAAAAATGAATGCAGTAAGTTACATAGTTATTAGTGCCAGACTAAAAGATCCAAAATGATGATAACCCTTCAATATAACAACTCTATTTTTGCTTTAAAAAGCACTTTCCATTGCTGCCTATTAAAGACATGAATTAATAAGGCATGGTTCCCAGGAAACCTGAAAGTACAGAAACAGTGCCTATTTCGATGCGTGCCAGTGGCTCCAATTCTGACGATAAATGCAAGTTTCTGGCACATGACAGACACATCTAAAGCCAAAATGAATAGCAAAAACTCTGCCATGACGTAAATCACACAGAAGGTCACTGAACTCGCACTGCATCGATCTGAACAGGATTTGGCCCAGAGTACGGGTGCTCCAAAGCCCCCGAAACGCTTCGCCAATGCCCCGGCACGCAAGAGCTGCGGGGTCTGCGAGTACCTCCAGGCCTGGCTCTGGGATTGGAGCTCAAATCATCCCCGTTGCAGCTCCAGCTCCCGGTCATCCCGGGTGAACCGGTGCGGCTGGACCCAAGCAGCTCCGCGCTGGCTCCGGCGCCGGGGAGTTTCCCTTGCAGGATGGTGACGCTGCCGCTCCGCGGGGCCGCGCTGCAAAGCAGCTGCCACCACGTCCTGCTGCTGCCCTGCAAACTGCTGCTGCTCAACCTCACTCAGCAAGCAAAAAAAGCTCTTTTTTTCCCCCCCAAGGTTAACAGAAACTAACAGTATTTCCCAATTACATGGCTAAATATAATGAGGAATCCATGCAGCTTTTTGTCTTTTTTTTCTCCCTCCCCTCTTTTTTTTTTTTTCTGAGTGACAGCAATATTCTGCCCATGGAAGACACACAATAAAAGCAAAATTACAGCCGTCTGTTTTTATCCGATTCCTACTTTATCACTTGAAGTTTAATATATTTTACTCTGGAATGCTGTCTAATATGCTAGTTGTATCCTGAATATGAAGTAACATTTCTGAATGATAGGATATTGCTTCCCTGTGTGATCTATCTTCAATTAAGGGATGCTCTCAGGAAATGACACTTTGGGATCAGCAAATGCCAATCTTCTACCTGGGCAATTTTCAAGAAGAAATCCTGCATCCCTTCCAGCCCACATTGACTTTTACAATTAAATTACATTTAATAGAAATATTTCAGCTGCCTAATTTCTCAATTCTATGGGCTTGGCACATGAAAACATTTATTGGTTAAGAATTTCTAATGTAAGAGCTGAAAGAAAATGATTTCAAAAATAAATAAAAGAGAATCCAGCTAGAAATTAAAAGGGAATAGGGAGCTTTCTTTTCTGATAAGAGCTTGCGACCTCCCTTTCCTGTAACAGCAGCTAGGAACTGCTTCTGCAAATTCCAAATGCAGAAACTGATTCAACCCAAAGCTAACTTAGATCAATTAAAAGAAAAAAAGCTATAAAAAGAGTAAGGCACTGGCTGCTGTAATACTTTAGGGATTTCCCTGGAATGTGTCTTTGAATTTCAGAAAACACTGAAGGGGAAGAATTGCTTTCCTTACTCTGTGAGCAGTCCTTCCCGATCCAGCCCGGGAAGCACTGACACGATCCGTCGATGGGGTTGCACGTGCCGTTCTCGGTGCACTGACAGTCCTCAGCACAGTTCTTGCCGTACTTGCCACTGGGACAGACTGGAAATACAAAGCAGTTTATTCAAGACTCTTGGTCATTAATATTAGGAAGTGGTCGGACTTGACATTTAGTGATTAGAGATAAAAGTAATTATGTCATTTTTTGCTTTGCATAAGCCAAGCGGGCAAAATTCTTACTGCAAAAAAGTATTCAAGTTTATTTTGTTTGCTTACATCTCAGGCGTAAAAATATTAACAGAAAAGAAGTCATCTTGAAATTCATATTTCTGCTGGAAAATGCATTGAATACAGTTAGAAGAGTACAATTAGTTAAGGACATTATGGAAGCACGGAAAGAAGAGAGACAAGACAGGGGTCTAATGGGAGAGGAGGAGAATGGTAAGTTGGGAAGAAGTCAGAGAACAGCAGCAAACACAGGAGCATCTAGAAGGGGCTGACGTGGGGCCTCAGCTACGGGGTCCCTGGGTGCAAACCTCCGGGCTGGGGGCTGCAGTGGCTCAGCCTAGCAGAGAAGCCCAACGAAGATGAAGACAACGGGGCTCTTTGGGGCTGTCACTAGAAGCTCAGGTCTGTCTCAAGGCTGGGTCGGATGGGAGGAAGGAATACGCCTTTTGCTACTAAATACCCAAGATATTGGTGAAGATCTTCAGCTCTCAACAGTTTCAGTGGGAGGAGGCTCAAGGCACCTTACGGAAGCAGGAGCACGAGTGCTACTTCCCCAGGTATTTTCACCATATAATCCTGGAGGAAGACTACAAGCCCAGGACAGCACCCACTGCTGTCCCCTCGCAATGGGGACCTATTGCTGAAAAGCCATTTTTGCCTTCTAGCATCCATCCACCATCTCCAGGAACGCGTTACTGTGGTAAGGGCTCACTTGGGCTGCAACTGCAAGATTCTATCAATTAAATATATTTTTGAATGAGATTTGTTAAACAGATGTGTTGTACCTTAAAAAAATCAGGGTCTATTCCATCCAGCTTCCTCCAGAAGAAAAGAAACTCTGAATTTTCTTCAGAATAATCTTACAACAGCCTAGACACAGTGATATAAAACTAACGGACAGGTATGTCTCCAACCTCCTACCAAATTATTGGAAATCTCTAACATTAAAATTGATGGAAAGCTCTGCTGAGTAATGAATGAGTTGTTGAATTTCTGTGCTCTTATTGGCTCTGCTCCCTGACAAAAACAGATGTATTTTGAAAATGAGATAAAACACACAGTCCATCTCTGTGAAGAATGTAGCAAATGAAACTGGACCCGTATCCTGGTAAATAATAGTGATGTCAAAAAAGTGATTAAGGGACTTCCCTGAATTATGCAACTGCTTCACTATTTCAGGCACTCTCACTTTCTCATAGGCATTCTCTGCAGGTGACCTCAATCTTTCTTGACAGTGAATCAGCCACAGATTGAAATCCTGAGCTGTGATTCATTTGCTTTTATACAATATGCCATCCTCTACTTTTACTATGGCAGAAACCTAAGAATGGTGAGGAAAACAATACTGCCTAGCCTAGCCACAGAGTTATCTGCAGGAGTGGATAAAGTTGGCTTTCAAATTACGTGCTAAATAGAATAGTTCTCTACCTGAAAGGAGATAAAACTAAACACAATATACAGAGGTAATGAAAAGAACAATATACAGACACAAAGAGAAAGAGAGAGAGGGAAAGAAAAGGCCTCACGTCACAGAAGGAGCAAAAACTAAAACGATCCGTCAACCCAGGTGCTCATACATGCTATACCATTATTCAATTCCACTGCTCTATACAGAGTGCTTCAATGCGATATTTTTATTGCAGTTTTAAGACGGAGACAGATAACATCGCTTAAACGAGGGCCAGATTTTTTATACGTACAAAAAATAGTCCTCAAAAGACTTCCTTAAAATGGAAGCAGATTCACACTGCAGCGTGGAATACTAATGAATCGAGAATAGATTTTTGATCCAAACCCCAACGCTGACAAAGGCAGCGGGTCATCCTTGGCAAAGGCAATGCCTGGGCTCCCCAGATGAAAGCGAGCACAGGGGTTTCTGCCACGGGAGCCCCTCTTGTCTTAGCGAAATAGTCTGGGGCGCTGCGGGCGTCAGCACAGCAGGAGCACGAGACCCATCCTGCCAGGAGGGCTGCACTCATTAGTTTAACTAATCTGGCTGCGGAGTGACACAGCGGCTCCCTTGTAAACTTGTGAGATCCACGTAAGCGCGGGTCTTAAAATGCTTAAAGTATTTTTAAACAAAGCTGTAGAAAAGGACTGATACCGCTTTATTCAGCGCAGACAGTGCTGTTAATTAGCTATAAAAACCTGGAAGCTCCAGGTTTGTTCCTGCAGCTGTAGCATATTGCAGGTTCAAACTGCTCTATGGTAGTGAAAGATGCTCCGAGAAGCGGCCGTGTGGCTGTTTGCTGCTTAAAAAGGGCCGTGCCAGTGTCACCCAAGGAAGACCACAGCGCGCCGAGCACCCCCGTGGCACCAGGACAGCCACAGCACAAGGTGCAAATGCAAAAGCAAAATCTTTGCTTTGCAGTGTTTTTTTTCTAATAGGAAACATTAATTAGCATTCTTCTTTCTACAAAATAAAGTTACATGCTAACTGACAAACTGCAACACAAATTGATTTTAATTAGGACATGAATATTTTAAAATTAATTTGCTGGATGGATCAACATTTCAAAGTAAAACCAGAAGTGCTGAACATCTGAGCAAAAATAAAATCGAGTTTTCTTAAGAGGATAATTAGCCCTGCTTACGCTTTGAAATCAGGATAACTTTTCACATAAAATGGACAAATTCACTGAAATATGTTCATTCTAATATATTAATTGGTATAATGTTTAGTTGACTGTGCAGCATAGGGAAAAGAAAACATGGTTATATTTAATCTATGTTTAATGATTTTGCCTAAGTACTGTCTGCACTTTCTAACTTACTCAGAAGCAGGTCATTAAAAAGTGTCACTTCAATTTTTACAAGGATGGTGACTTCACAAGGGCAGTAGCCATTAGGAATAATCTCTTTTAAATCTGTGCGTAGAAAACACCCACCGTAGCACACCATAACTCAGGCTCGGCAGAAGATGGTAATGATTTTGCAGGCAGTTTTAGGATGAGATTAAAACTGGAGCCCACGGTTAAAAGCAGACTCCCTTTCAAAGGGACAGAAAGGTGACAGACATGTGGGCAGCCAAGGCTGCAATGTCTCTGATTTCACTGCCTTGTTACTTGTTTTTTTTTGCCTCCTACGCTTGGTAATTGGTCGCATGTTATTTCAGCCATTCGCAGAGTTCTGGTCAGCAGAGCTGAGGATGCAGCTGTAAGCTGAGTGCTCACATCCCTGCACGCGGCCCTGGCGAGTGGCTGATGTTCATCCCTCGTGCTGAAACAGAGGGCTCCAAAGTGCCATCCACCTTTAGGCTAAGGTAGGCCTGGCAAAAGGGGAAAGTGAAGCCCCCAGAGAGCTGCTGTATTTATAGTGCGTCCCATTCCATATTCATTTAAACGCTTGTTTTATTTATGTCCCCCCTGTTTTACAAAAGGAGGACTAAGCACCCGTTTGCGTGCCGCCTCTGAAGGTGAGACTTTCCCCGTGATCTAAACTGCTGAAACAAGAGAAGACAACAGAACCCCGCGGGCAGGACGTGCCCCGCGGCCGAGGGCTCCCTACCTTGGCTGCAGAGCGGGCCGGCGAAGCCGGGCAGGCAGTCGCAGTGTCCCGACACGTGGTGGCAGGGCCCGCCGCTGTGCACGCACTGCGGGCACGCCTGGCTGCACTGCTGCCCGTAGAAGCCGGCCGGGCAAACTGGGGAGAGAGCAAAAGAAGCCGTCACGGGTTTGGGGAAGACCAACAATATTTCTTATTTTCTAAGAGTTTTGCAAGCAGCGGGAATTGGGAAGCCTGTTTTCCCACGGCTTTATCTCCTGGTTGGATTATCCCATGGCTAATAAAGTGTAAGCTTTGAGTAAAACTCTTTCTGGGGTTCAAATATTCACAGGATCCTACGTCACATAAGCGCTCAGCTATTTAATAACCCTGCTGAGCTCTCGTCGCAGCCCTTCTCAGGAGAGCCACTGCTTTGAGTCTCCCTGACCCTCTCCAGCTACACAATTTGACAAAACATGGGAGTTTAAGACCTCTGAGGCCTCATATGCCACTGGCAGATATGAGTAATCCTTGGTAACATATTGCAAAGCCTTTCCGACAGGAGGGAAGAGATATACACACACGCCTATGCACAGGCAACAGAGCCTCAGAAGCTTGTTTCCTTAGGAAATTAAGTAAGGAATTAGGAAACTTGTTTTTTTTTTTTTCTTTAAACAACTATGTCAAAAGTTGGTTTCTAAACATAGCAAGCACAAGACGTGTTCAGCTGGAACAGGCAGTCTGTACACTCCATTGCAGGAGTAGCATCCACCAGTGAGGAACAACATCTATTCATTATGAAAATTATGAAAAGAACATGCAAGAGCACCCCTTTTGCCTCAGTGATCATACTGGATAGCTGAGTAAATTTGTCATGAGCTGTGTGCTTAATTAGCTTAAAACTCGGAGTGAAATTATTACTGGATCTGTCCTCAAGGTATAGAGCCAGGAATAGGGTTCAGCATCTCTTCCAACCCTGTATATTTGCTTCAAAGCCCATGAAGAATGAAACACCATCCACTGCCTGAAGATTCACTGCTACAGGTACACACACAGAGTCATTAAATTGCAGTAGGTAACTGCAAGAATGACTTTATATGTGTTTATTTTTACTCCTGTGATTCTCTGTTTTATGGTTCTGGCTCAGTGGTTACTATATCATGTCCGTTCTATTTTTTCCCCGAAAGAGAATTTTTCTCTGGGTCCGTATGTTCACAGAAGGTGTCAGCTTCTTAAGCTACTGCAGACTCCTAGCTAGAACTTAGCTGACAGTTTTGTTGATGACGCATTAACCATAAAGCAACCTGGATCATTCCCACAGACATCTCTGCAGGGCTGAGAGCAGGAAACTCTCCTGGTCTCTCGTGTAACCCTCATCACGCAGATGGGACGAGCTGTATGAGGACCATCCTTAGTGCTGCACTTTACAGGCTGAATCCTGCTCCTAGCTGAATTTGCAGGAGGAAAATGGGAATGGTCCCCAAGGCATCCTCGTCAGAAGGGAGTTCTAAGCCCAAATCCAGCAGAAAAGGTGGGAGCAAGAGTGTTTCCTGGTCTTATCTTCCAAGGGGTTAATTTCAGCAAGACAAGGCAATAGCAGAAACATCCAGAGGGTGCTTATGGCATCACCCCTGTGGGAAGGAGAATTTCTCTCCACTGAGGCCTCAGCAAATGTCCTCAGGGCACAGTGCGATTACTGGAATTGCCAGCTGGGGACATGGTTTGTCTCTTGTAGTCTATGTGCCAATAGCTGATACAACTAAGCTGTTTTTTCAGCTCAGAAAGGCCAGAAACTATTAACTTCTAGAGGTGTTGCACTCTTAGGGTTTCAAATTTGTAAAACAATTTCTTCCCCAATTCCCTGAAGCTCTGAGTGCCACATTTCAGCCTTGGAGAGAGGTTTTACAGCTACATAGATATGCTGAAGCACCTGGAAATTGGGGTTTATAATGGAAATGCTTATAGGCCATTAAGTACAGCAGTGCTAGAGGTCACAGTTATAATGGCTTTAAATAAAAACTGTCAGCTACAAATTATTTTTAGAGATGAGTGTGTCCTAGTGTCAAGTGTAACTGGTGAAATCAGGTGGGATATATGAACTGGGCATGGAGAATGTCTTCCAGGAAGAACAAGGGCTGCTGCAGAAAAAAAGAGAAGATGAATCCATTTCTTATTTACATAGGAGGAAGTTTGCATGTGCTTTGGATCAGTGAGTAAAGGTCCCTGAGGGGCAAATGCTGTTTCCCAGATGAAGCAAATGAGAGGATTTTTATCTCCTCAGCACGGATTAATATGTAGCAGCAGATCATCAGACAGGAGCTATTTTGGGCTGCCGTGTTTCTTTTCCAAGCAAGTAAGAAAACATCAATTTGTCACTTTGGTAGCCAATGTTCATCCACTTGTCAAGAGATGAAGGGCTGTAGCTGGCATTTCTCATCATGCACTGAGCGAGCTATGGCCTCCCCAGACAAGCTGCCCCTTCATTCCCTGGGCCTCATGTTCCCCAGCAAAATAAAACATCCGTATGGAAGCCCACTTCTCCCAGCTGCATCGGGGTCCGTGCAGCTTACGACCCCACAGAATCGGTGTTTTAATAGGGGTCCTGTCCTTTGCCATGACACGACTGTAAAGCTGCTTTTGCCCACATTGGAGTTTCTGAGTTTTATATACAAAGATTTTACTACTTGTTTCCAGCTTCCTCTGTGACCTCCACACTGTGGAAGAAGAAACCCAGGGCAGCACTCAGTTTTCCTTTGCCGATGGCACTCTGGAAACACCAGGTAAGGGCAGATTTACCTTCTGTGAACGGCACTACCCCAGCAAAATGCTGCTCAGCAGCTTGTCAGCACCCAGTCATGACATTTTGAGCAGAGGTAAATGGAAAGTAGTAAAATACTGCTCTGAGCTCCCTTCCCCCTGGAATTTTCTGGTCAGGAAGCATTTTTTGGGCTAACCTTTCCGCTGAGCAAGTCATAAGCTAATGCAGCCCTGAAAACCATGCCTTGGCGTGGCTGGATAGTGCCACAGACAAGCGTTTCCCTCTGCTTTGCTTCTGCCTATCCACGGAAAATATCTCGGATCTATGGAAAATCTTACTTCTCTGGCACATGGGTCCTCTGTACCCGGGCGCACACTCACAGCTCCCGTCCTCCGGCGAGCAGGATCCGCCATTCTCGCAGCTGCAGGAGATGGAGCAGTTTGGGCCCCAGCGGCCCTGGGCGCACACGTTGTCACAGTGGATGCCTGAGGGAAGAAAGGAACAGGGTAGGTTTTCACACAGGCCACTCTACTCGTCGAGCAGTTTTAGTGGATTGATGCCTCGCAGTCTCTTTCAGAGCAAACAAAGGAGTCTGGAAAGGAAATGACTCTCCTTTTATCTGCCTAAGACACTGTCAATTAAGAGAAGGCCAAAGAGGGGAATTCTGCAGGTGTTAGTGAGCAGGAACTGTTTTGAAGTCACAAAACATCTTAAATACCAGCCTGGTAATACACAGCTGGATTAAATTTGCTTACTAAACTGCTGCAAACCGGAAGACTAAAGAAGAAGAAACAGATTTTTGTGAAAACAATCATTTTCTTGAATATATGGAAATGCTATGTTGTGAATTGTGCACTTCCTGGCACACCATGCTTGGATTATTATACTTTTAAAAACAATCTTGTGACATGGCTTGTCATGTAAGTGTGAGCTAAGGATCAGATCCTGCACATCATTACTCGTCCATGAGGCTCTTCCTCCGCTGGGATAAGACAGCCCCAATGCCTACAAGCAACCAAACTACTGGCACGATCAAGAGCTTCTTGGATGGAGAAAGGTTTGTGGGATCATGAGCTGAAAGAGACATTAGGAGCTGTCAGCTGCAGAAAGTGGCAATAGCAGCCGCACACTGCGGATATGGATAACATCAGAAAAAGTGAATTACAGCCTGGCTTGAAAATTTTCCTAACAACTGCACCGGGTGCCTTACAATTGCTCCACCACGATTTGGTGGCACACCCTGCCCTCGCTACGCTGTCACCATGAAAATGCTCTTTATCACCCATGCACATGTCCCTGCTGCCTAATGGGATAAGCGCAGACAGGAGCCGGAGAGCCCCAGCGCAGCCAGAGGTCGGATTAGTGCATCGTGGAGGATAAACCCAATCCCAAGTCATTTCCTGCCCCTCTGATAACTTCATCTGGATGCTACAGGTAACGTGCTGCAGTCTGTGCAGGCACCGGACTTCAAGGATTATTAAATCAACTAAATTATAAACACACTTACGGTGCAGTTTCAAGGCCGTTTTATAAATCTCTGAAGCTAATACAGTAAAAAATACTGCAGAGCCAAAATTTCCTTCTTTTGTGAAGATTAATCACATATTTATAATGTCTCTTCCTAGAAAATCTTAACCAAGGCTGGCAAAAGTACAGTTTGAAATGGGGTTTCTAGTAATGCATGATCATAGCCTTATTTATAAAGGGGCATGGCCTGTGCTAGAGAGCTTAATAAAAAACAAATTAAAACACAATAAAAACATAACACAAGCTCAATCTCTTCAAATTTAAGTAAATAAATCCAGACAAAAGGAAAGCGAAAAGAGACAAGGAATAGTAATATCTGTGTTAGTAAAACAAAGAAAACCAATGATTTTAACAAAGCCGTCCCTACTCCCTTTAAAATCAAATACACCTTTGGAATAGTTAAGCAAAAAGTGCTTTGATTGTGCATTTATGTGCTACACTTGCAATACATTGCAATTAAAAATGAATATAATGAATTAATATCCTGCATTTCATATTTGTACACACATTCACACATTTATATGTGTGTATATATATATTCACACTTTCTAATATCTCACTTCAAGCTCTGAGAGATGTAATTCAGAGATGTAGAAAAACGTGCACCTTCTCCCGAGCGCGGTATTAAAAATGCAATTTTCTCATTGTGAATAGGGTAGTTATAACTGCAGACAATTAAACTGCATTATTTCTTGTCTCTTTGGGCAAAGTTTGGGGAAAAACGACATTGGCCGCTTTCCCTTGCAAGGCAGATGAATCTGCAGGGCTGTTCTTTGCAGAGCAAAGTCCTCCCTTTGCTCATGAGTAATGAGGGCGTCTTCCCAGGCCTAACGAAGGCAATGAGTCACCGTGAAGCCGGCTGTCGTAACAAAATGTGAAGGGGGGAAATGAAACCTGCTAGAAGACACTGATACCCATTACGGCATATATTTATTTATCAGTTTTCAGAAGACAGCTGCGGAGGTGCTGCAATCAATTATTATTACTTTGTATTACTCCAAGTTAATTCTCAGGGAAGACTTCATTTCTGGAGGCTCTTACACTCACTGAATTACAAATGTAAATGTGAAGTCAGACTTGTGCCTGGACATGCAGGTGCTAGGGCATTTTGCTAAAAAAAAGGCAGCTTAGTTTACAATTCCCTAACTTGCCAGTGATGAAAGGGGAGTCCATGCATCCCAGCTACTTTGCAGCTAGGTTAGTGAAGCAGTAACCTTCCTTAATATAAAACTTTAATCCCGTTAATCCTTATTTAGGAACTTGATGATGAGCATTTCTGATAAGCAATTAAGTTTTCAATTTCCAGAAATACAAAAAAAATGCTGAAGTTGATACATCTCTGCACTATCTTAAGTTACAGGCCCAGATTTCCAAATTATGAACAAATTCCCTCTTTGAAAAGCACCATGTACAAGCCAGACAACTATCAGAACTGCAAGTCCTTGAAGCTGCAGGATGCAGTTCTATACAGAAACCCTATTGCCTAGATACCAGGAAATTATCTTTAGTGCCTGAGGCTGTGGTTCACAATTGCAAATACCAGTACGAAATTACGCTCCCAAGAGCTTCTCAAACAATGTTTTGGGGGTGAATTGTAAAAGAAATTCCAATAATTTAAATAATGTTAGAGTTACCCACGGTGCATAGGCAAAGGACGTCGGGACCCGCCAGCGGTACCGTGGAGGCAAGGTGACCACTGCGAGCTGTGAAACAGCAGCTACAGATTTCTACCCAATGAAGGAAGGTTCTTTGCATTAAAATGCACAGATTGGGCTGTGGAAGGCCCAGCTACCAGGCACATCACCATCGTCGAGCAGAGCAGCAAAGCCAGAAAGAGAAGAGCAAATGGCCAAACGGGACGCACGGCTTCCACCAAGAGTTACTTCCCATGCTGCTCCCCCAGTAATCCAGGTTTTAATGGGTGCTTGCAGGCTTAGTGCTGCCCCGGTAACTGAACTGCACTGAAGGACTTGGGAGGGAGAAATTCCTCAAAGTGAGACATATGGAGAACTCCCCTTTTCCCCTCTCCAGCTTGCCCGTGCAGCTTCTCGCGTGCTTGGGGATTACAGCTCTAGCTCTTAATAAAGCCTGCCATTGGGTTTTTTTTCTGCCTTGTCTCTAGACAGTTGGAAACTAATACACCAAACACAATAGATGAGAAAAAATGGATGGAATAAATGAGAACCAGTGGCCTATTTCTGACCACTGCGATCCCCTTGACAGTAGCCTCTGCAGCAGGGCCTGCGTGCTGACCAAGACCTAATTATTTTTCAGGGATGTAGGAATTTGATAAATTATAGGATGGAGCTCCCTTCCCCCATATACTTTAAATTTATATCTACCAGTGCACGACTGTAATTATTTCCCTGAATAAGATTTTTTTTCTTCCCCCAATAATCACAATCTAAAGACAGATGCAACATCAATTAGCAATGACAGGAACGATTCCAGCAGACATTTGAATCCAACACAAACACTGTGCTCTCCTCCACCTGTCTCTCAACATGACATGAAGTCATAATAATCTCTCATCTCCAGCGTTTGAATAGCTTTGGAAAGAACTGCATTTTATGCATAAATAGGCCTTGAATTTATGCGGGTAATACAACAGAGACCTGAAGTTTGGTGAGTCATGCTGGGCTTCTTTGATCGGGAATGCCTGCTAACCTTTATCTCCAGCCCTAAGAATTCCTACCGGGATTCTGCCTGCCTGTTGACACGGCGCGTGGAGACCGAACTGCAGCAGTAGCAAAATAGCTTCAACAGCAGCAAATAATCTAATCATTATGGCCAGGAGGCTCTTTTAGACGAACAGTTTCTTAAAGGCAGCCAGCAAACGCTTGCACTGCCAGCACCATGGTCAAGCACCACTGCAGTGCCCTCGAGCACAGGGTATTCCTCCAGCCTCCATGCACTTTGGGAAAGTGCCTCCCAGGTTTAAGGCAAACCTGGGAATACTGAATTCCCAAGAACCTCCTACTTTGTACATTTATTTTAGGTAATGATTTCTGTAATCATGTGTTCACCTTGTCTTTAACTTTCTGGTCTTTTCTTTCGCCAGCTCTCCTTCTGCTGTTACCCTTATGTTTCATCTGTAAATTCTACTTAAAGCTGTTCTATATTTGAGATTAGATCAGCACGCTTTGCTAAATAGTGAATGCTTTGCTCCTTCAATCTGCAAAAGGTAAAAAAAATTCAATAAGAGCACAAGCAAAATCTGTCTCTGGATCAACTGTTCACAACGTACTGCTATATCACAAGAAGATTTTCTGAAGAATACTTGATACGTTTCTATTGTTTTTTTGCATCTTCATAGTTATTCCCACTTCAGGGTTTGCCTCAGGTATCTGACTCAGACGCACTCAGAAAAAGCACAGTGCAATTCCTGACAACTCAGCTTTCCAGCTGCTGAAGAACCAGCAAATCCGTTTGCGGAGGGCTGCAGACAGAAGAAAACATAAAGGGATCTCCCATAAAAATAAATGGAAACATTAAGAATTGATGGCTGCTCATCTAGTCTGCAAATAAGCTATTTTTGTTTTTATATAGTGAGACTATTCAGCAGAGATAACAGCAGCCACATTATGTACCAAGTTTGGTGGCGGAATGCTTTCTAGCTGTGAAATTGTTTTCAGATGGCTGGTGTGGAGCCCTTATTTACCTTGCTAAGTGGTGCTCACCGGTGGGCTTCAGTGGGGCAGCTCCTGCAGAACAGCCCATCAGTCTAAATGAAGGCGCTGCGATCTGGTCCTAAATAATGAAGAATAAGCCTCTCCCTGAAGCCCGTGAAAAATTCTAAATTGCCTCTTCTCCCATCATTGCATAGGCGATTTATGCACCCATTAATGTAAGTGTTTTTTTCTGAAAGTAATATACTTACAGCCTAATGCACCTCTGCAGAGCACTAATCCTACCCCTATTCTTAATTATCTAGAGAAAACTCCAGATATGAATCATC